ATGATTATGATCAATAGTAATTGAGCTCCCATTAATGGCGTCTCCTGTTGCTTTGCCACTCGATCCTCCTGCAGATGCATCCTCGATCGCTATGAATTAATTCCTGTAAACTTTGTTGTAGCAAAGCTGTAAAATCCTCGGAATTAAGCCCTCAAAATGGTTTCCAATTGCTCTGATACCATGTTAGTTTCAGTAATTCTTAACAAGGTAAAGTTGAAGAACAGAGAAGAAAGAGATTATATATTGATTGAATTATGAATATACGGCTTAACTGAAAGAGATGCTTTACAATGCTTTATATAGAAGTGGCTAGCTATCTAACTGAATAACAAACTCTAACTAACTCTTTACTGTTAATTAAAACTAACTGTCAGCTAACTAACACTAATCAACAACTGTACACTTAACTAGCTGCTCAACAGGGACATCAATATGATCCTGGAGTGCACACCAGCAATAAATTTATAGCACTATAGGAAAGACACCAACAGGATAGAGGAATCCAAGTTAGCTATTCACACAAAAACAATAGGAACAATAGTTACACAAAACCTTAGAAAAATAGTGGAAACAATTGTAACATAGAACAACAAAAACACACCGACAGAAGTATCGATAAATACTAGAGAAAACTGAGGAAAAAATTTCATAGGGTATAGAAAAGATCTCTCTTAAATAATGAGTTGAAAAAGATCTCTTCTAAACAATGGGTCAAAAACACTTTTGGCAAACAACCATACTAAAATAGAGCTCAAACCAATGGGCAAGGTATTGCCCAATACACAAATAATAGAACAATCACAAAGGACATCAACAATACACATATCAACAACTCACATGACTTAGAAATAATCACTTGGGATATGGGAATAAAAAGTAAATAACATAAAGTTGTTAGTTGGTAAGACCCTGATGAAAAAATCCAAAAATTGAGATGAGGATGAGAATAAAGAGGTGGATAATATGAATGAAGTGATGAATAGCAGTTCAGATGAGATTCACAAGTCCTAAAAAACTAATAACACTATTAAAACAATAAGTGGAGGACCAACAAAACTCCTAAGTATTCTGAAAACTAATAGTGAAGCTAAAGATAGGGTTATGAATTGTCCACACCTAAAAGAGGATATAGACTTGACCCATCCACTCACATAGCAGTTGCAAATCATAAATAATTCATAATAGGATGAATCAGAATAGAACATTGACCAAATCATCAAAGATGGATATTTATCATCAAAACATGCAAACATCTTAAGAAATGGCCATCAAAAAATAAATAAATTAATGCTTTATTTCCACTTCAAGTCACAACAATGATTAATAAATCAAGAAGCATAAAGTGTTTCCAACGATAGACAAAACGTTATTATTTGGAGTATACAACATCCAAAGCTCTTTTGAAATATTGACATACATTCATAAAAAACATCACTACTCATTTATAGCATTAATGAAACATTTCTATGATACTGAAGATATAGAAGAATATATATAGAATAAAATTAGTAATGCAGAACCTCTAGTAAATGCCTATTGAAAGATATAGTGTTTTGGGATGAGGATTGGAGGGGGAAAGTACTAACAGACATAATCCAACAACAAATAACTTTTGGACTTGCTAGTCTAGATAGCATTACTGGATGCCAAACTATTTAAAATTTGCCAACCTATTTAAGAGTTGCACTAGCTCATCATATATTTTCTCAAGTGCTTGTCCACTTGGAGCTGGATGATGAAGAATCTTAAGAGTCAAAATATACTTTCAATAAAAGTATGATCTTGAACTTCCTTATTTCTATTATGATGGGTACAACTGAGCAACAATATATATCTTAAAATGTTCCCAGTCTTAAGCAAGTCTTCTCTTTTGCTTTGTCTGAAATCCAAAATCTTACTTCTTAGTTTAGTTGTCTTTCCCAATGTGATGAATCTATGAGCTAAGCCAACTTGTGAAGTGATATAGTTTGGTAGTTCCGCTTTAAGCCATCATTTAGCTTCCCCTAAAAGTGAGAACAAAAACAATATGAGTCTCACATAGTCCAAAGAGACAATTAGTGATAAAAGTGTCTGCAATCACCAAGAATGTCTAGAGATGAGCATGTGAGTTCACATGTGGTAGACATGTGAAGTACCCACTAGAGTGGAACAATTATCACAATATTTTGCTTTAGCTCCCATCTTTCAGTAATGTTAGGCATCACAATACTGGAGTTAACATTCACTGCGATTGGGATTACCATTTCATGCACTGCTAATAATGGGATTGGTGGTGAGTTTTCCATATTGTTATTAATGGTTGGTTGCTATGTGCTTAAAAAAAGTCTCTCTCCCTCAGATGAGATGGAGTTATGCTATCACTGGTCTCAGTAAGGTATGTTTCGTTGTCAAGAACTTTGCATACACATGTCACATGCATACACACCTAAAACCAAGTTGTTGTCACTTACAAGGACAAAAGCAATAAGTGAAATCTTCGGTTTTTCAATTCTTTAAGTCCCCATCGATGGCGTCAATAATTTTTTGTCCTTCCCACACATACTCAAGTGTACGTGTTAGCAAGTGATAAGTGATTGTTAGATAATTGGGTTTATCGATCCCTCAAAAATTTAGTTGATGACAAGCTACAGATTCCACTACTATCGTTATGAGAATAAATGGTATTTAGTTCAAGAGAGAGTTGGTTGTTGTTGTTTAACCTATTAATTATACTAAGTAATGCAAGTAAGTAAGAATGATTGTGGGTGTTGTTCCTAGAGTTATTAAAGCCTAGGGCTATGATGCTTGTGTAATTCCATCATATTGTTTTACTGTTGTTAAGCATGACTAAGATATCTATTGACTTGCTAAGTCACTTGGTTGATAATATGACCGCGGTCTCCCAATACTCTAACCACCTACCTAGATTGGCGTCGCACCTACATCATTGAGAGGGAATGTGGTAAACCACTCAGAATATATTTTTATATCGTGTTGTATTTAAGACAAGTAGGAAAATTTAGGTACGACTTAGTCCTAGCAGTTGATCCATCAGCAGACGAACCCTACTCCCCTTAATTCATATTCTATTTCTAGATTTTTTCTCTCAAGTTTCCCTAGGAATTATTCATTTTTCTTATGGTACACGAAACCACAAAATAGTAAGCATAATATCAAGGAATTAAGACATGTATGGTAGAATTTACAATAATAAAGGATTGAAAACTATTATGTTCATACAATGACCATAACCTTAGAATGAAGGCTTTTTGCCACTTACAATCTTACTACACAATATTAACTTCAAAAACAACAAATAAGGTAATCTATCTTAAGAATTTAGAAATAACCCTAAAATAATAGTATTTTGTCTTCTTTCTATACTCCTACATCGTTTCTCTCATCAATATGGTCAAATTCTTGTTTTAAAATTCATAAGTATTGTATTTATAATGTTGAAATCATCTTTGAGGGTCCACCAAATAAGACTAGGAAGGGCCTAAAATTATGTAGGTTTATAGCTCGTGCTGCGAGGTGGATTATCTCATCATGCCCCTCGCGTCACAAAGGTCTTTTCCTTTTCCCTCCCTGTGCTTCATGCAGGGGCTTAATTTAATATTTGCCTTGGACTTCATTTTGCGAGTATCAACAACTTTTTGTTCTATACTTAGTTGATTTCAAAGTCTTTTTTTTTTACCTAAAATTCACAAGATACTCCCATAAGCTCTAAATCATGTAATTGAGTAAACAAAATTTTCATTAGACTTTTCATATATCCGCATCCTATGATTTATCTAAAAAAATATAGATATTTAATTATAAATTAGATTACATATAAAATTAGATTAATTAAGTTGTATTGATAATTAAATTTTATTGTTTAATAATGGTTGATAATTATCCGACAACCATCCTCCTAAAGTAACTTGGATTTCAATGAAATTATATATTGAGTATTTAATGGTTAATTATTAAAATTATATACAGTTATGGAATTTGAGTATGTAATGGCCAATTATAATTAATCCAAGAACACCCTCAAAAATCATTTTTTATAAATTCTTGTAATTATTAAATTATGGTTATGAAATTTTTGAATTTTTAAATTATTATATTTTCAATGTTAAAACAAAAATTAATGTAAAGATACAAATTTCAAATAAATAAAGCGTTGAACCTGAATCTACAAATTGAAAATTAACAAAGTGATAACTTAACAATGCCAAGAACCTAAATTTATAAATTTTAAACTAACTAATACATTCATAATATTGACAATGAGGATCAAATATAATTTCATTTCAATGACATCAAAAGTGATCACTACACATTTTTTGGTTAGTAAAGTGTCTACCTTGATCACAAATTATATGGTAAAACACGTAATATATAAAAGTAACCTAAATAAACTAATACATTTAGATCGAAGATATATAATTAAAATCTAACAATAATAATGTAATTGAAGAAAACTAACCTCTTTAATTATAATATATATATATATATATATATATATATATATATATATAGGTGTTCTGGTGGGTAGGAGGTCAATGAAGGGGAATCGAAAAAAATTCTGATGTTAAGTAGAACATTCATAGATAGGGTCGGGTTGTCCTTATGTTTTTTACTAAATGAGTTGATTGGATCTAGATTAAAAACTTGATGGACAGCCCGTAGTTTTGTTTTCATAAAAAATAGAAAAATATATTATTAAACCTGACCCTGTCTATCGGTTAACCTAATTTTATGGTAGAAAAATTGAGGGAGTACGTTGGTTTTCCCTATGTTTTCTTGATGGACCAATACAAATAAATAAGGCTAAAATAAAATGTTATCTCGAAGCAGGGATGCAAGGTTGGTGTAGTTTTTATTTGATTTATATATATATATATATATATATATATATATATATATAAATTAGAAAAAAATTTCATTTTGCTTTAAGCTAGATGGTAGACTAGTTGATTTGAAGCATATATAGAAACTAAAATTGCGTGTTTGATGATGTGTTATATTAGGAGACTTGTATTGTGTTAAGGAGTTTTACAAAAATCAGCTAACTTTGGATTATTTGGTGGCGACATACAAAAAACCAGTTGTAAGTTTTATCAGTAGTATGTATCCTAGAAATAAATTATTTTCAATTATTAAACAAGCATGCATGCATGAAGGTTTTCCTTATCAATGGAGCTGTAATGGGAGGAGGTGCTGGTCTTTCCATGAATGCAAAATTTCGTATTGTAACTGAAAATACGGTGAGCTGTATAGCTAATTTCTTCTAAAATTATAATATTAATGTTTGAAAGATGAATATTTAGTGGTATTTGTTTTATTTTATAGGAGATCCTTTCGTTTTAACAATTACTTATTTGTGTGTAAGTAGGTATTTGCCATGCCAGAAGCCTCATTTGGACATTATCCGGATGTTGGGGCATCTTATTTTCTTTCAAGATTACCTGGCCATTTTGGTAATCATTTTCTCTTAACAAATTTTATAGTCATTCCATTATGACTTCTTAATGTGATTGAATGATTTGTTTATCACTTAATCTTTACTTACAGGAGAATACTTAGGATTAACAGGAGCAAAAATAAATGGCTCTGAAATGATTGCATCTGGCCTTGCAACTCATTTTGTTTATTCAAAGGTATCATGCAGTTTTACTATTTTAAAGAGAGTTAATATCTTAAAAGGTCACTGAAGTATGTGAATTTAGTGAGAAACATAGACTATGTTTCCCCTATAATCCCCTTGGTTGTGCACTATTTTATCCCAAAAAACATTGCATCAACTACTGTTGAGTTGTTGGTCCCCTATGTCAATAGCATTGGGGCTCCATCACGATCCCCAACCTGAAAATTCTCTTATTATCAATAGCATCTCTTACAATTAATTTGATGTATATCCTCCACTTCTCTGTTTGATGGATTCCAAGGTAGATCGAATAGAGAAGTTCTCAGAGTTAGAGATAGTCAAAATTAGCCTCATCTTCAATGTCCTCGTAAAGGGAGATATTAAATAAGAGAATCTTGAGTTTTAAATCATCGAACAGATCAAAATCCAATTTCTCCCGGTACCACAAATTGTTGGAAAGCACACTTGTAAGCATAATATTTTGAGGGGTATGACCACTGGAAATATACTGATACAGAGTCCCAGAGAAGACCAATCATCACGCCAAAGCGAAATGTTCCCTTTACAAATGTTCGACTTTATGTTAAAGTCCATGTTTTCCTTAGTATCACAAGTGTACTTCCGAGTGTGACAGTTGCCTATGCTCTGAGGGACAGTGACAAGGTGATTGATTAATCCAGCACTATTTAGCCAGAATGAAATTGCTCCAAAGAACCCTACAAATTCTTATAGACCACCACTATTTATTTGTGAAAGCTTTATAAATATTTGCCAAGGCCCTGAAATCAACACCTCCTTCTTAATAAGGATAACAAAGGTTATTCAAAGAGGCCCAATGAAATTTTTCTATACCATCTTAATCACACCAAAAATATTCGACAATGAAATTTTCTATCAAGTCTAAGGTGAAATTAGGAAGGGTAACAACAACTAAGATATGGATAGGGAGAGCCAACAGAACATGTTTGATCGTTATAGCCTTGCCACCAGAAGATAAGTGCTTGGTATGCCATCATTAGATCCTACCAATAACCATGTTGACCATATCTGAGAATTTCTCAATCCATTTCTACATGTGATTATAAGGAATCCAAGATATTTGATAGAGATCTGTCAGTGGAAACAAGACTAGTTTTAGAGCTCATGGCAAAACAACTTTTGTTATTGATAATCAATTGACCAAAAACTTTCTTCTAGTTAGATAGGGTCTTTATAACTAGAGTCATAGTCCTTTTTCTATCATTTTAGAAAATTATGGTATCATTGACAAAAGAAAGATGGTTAACCTAAGGATGGTTAGAATTCATGTAGAATCTAATATAATTGGTAGAGATTAACAAATTATTCCTTATTTGTGCGAGTACCTCTATACTAAGGATGAACAAAGATGGGGATAGAGGATCCCCTTGTATGAGGCCCTTTTTAGAGTGAAAAAGTCAATTTCTACTAATTAATGGAGATGTAGTTATAAAACATGTTGGTCCAGTACTGATAAGAGACAAATTTCTTCTTAAATAGGCAAAAAATTCACATGAAACTCTATCATAGACTTTTGTTATGTCTAGTTTCTTAACCACATTGCTCCTTTAATTAGGTTTATTGATATCATTGATGATCTTTTGGGCTAGTAATATGTTCTCTTCTATGAATCTCCCTTTAATATGGCGAGTCCAATTTTTGTAGATGATGCTACAAAGAATAATGACAAATTTAGAGTTAAATATTTTGGCAATGACTTTAGTGATGACATTTCTTAAACTGATAGGTCTAATAAGGTTTGAAAAAGTCTCTGAGTAATCAATCTCAAAAGTCATGAGAATATTGGTGTGCATATAACATTTGGTAAGAGTGCATCTATTTATTAGTTTGTCCCAGGATAATAGTGGTGGTTATTTTGTTTCTCTTAGCCCTCCCGCTCACCATCAAACACCAACCCTTCAGGGAAGAGTTGTAACTCCCTTGATTTTAATTCCTTTCGGAGAAAATCTATTATCTTTCCCTTCAAATAAGGATTGAGGGTTTCCCCCTTCCAATCCAATATTCTAGAGGTAATAGCTGTGACTTACCTGACTTTGAGTAAGCCGCTTTCAATCGTTTCCATCGTTTTGACTGGGTAGAATGAATGTGAGAATGAACATACCCGCACCCCCTGATTGAACTTCAAGATATGAACTGAGTGTCATTTGATGAGTAACAGTGAATAAAGGAGAGGGATATGGAAAGAATGAAGTAATGAAAGAGGAATGTTTGTCTTTAGTTTCCCTAGAACTATCCTTTTGTTGTTTCTCCAATATAAATCCTGATGATCTGACTTTGAGGGAACTCTTATTCTTGATTGGTTTTCTAGTTGTCATGTGGGTTGCTGATTTCCATTGCCTTATTTCTCTCTAGTTATAGGTGCCATAACCCTCTTCTTGGTTCATATTTTGGAATAGGTTGCTTCCTGTTTTGTTTTGAGTTTGCTGATGAAAGAGGATATTCTTATCCTTACCCTTCCTTTTATCTACATGTTTCCATTCATCTGCTTCTGCTTTAAGAGTGTCTTCCATGGTCATGATCATTGACATCACAATATCAACCTCATGAGTTAATACGTTTGTCTAATTTGTAGAGATGCCTTGGTTCCATTTCTTATGGTTGTTACTATTATATTGGGTTAAACATTATTCCCTTCTTTCCCACGATTCCTCGATCTATTTCTATCCCTTGAAGCATTCATTTGGCCTAATCTACATTTTTTGCAAGATGACCTTTCATTTGTTAGGGTTTGAAACTTTTAGAGTGAAAAAATAAGGTTCAGCAGCAGAAATTCATTCATATTCAGCTTTTGAAAAGCATACACAGATATTTCTACATAAGCTTTTCCAAAGTTAGTAGAGGACCATACATATCCAACCACTATTGACTTTCTTACAAAACATATTCCATAAAACAAGGACTACCTTTCCCTTACATACTTAACATAATATTTAAGAAAATAACAATTAAACAAAAGACATCTAGAAATATCTCATTTTCTAACACTCCTCCTTGAGATTTTTCTTGGATACTCCCAACTTAGCCCTTAGAACTTCAAATTTCCCCTTAGGAAGAGCCTTGGTCATGATGTCTGCAATCTGCTGATCTGAGCTGCAATGAACAAGTTGAACTTCACCATCCTTCTCTGCTTGCCTGATGACGTGAAACTTCACATTTATATGCTTGTTATGACCATGTTGCACTGGATTTTTGGCCATAGATATTGCTGACTTGTTGTCAACCCTTAATGACAGTAGCTTCAATGTTATTTTGCTCCAGATCACGTAGAATCTTTCTTAACCATAAAGCCTGATTAGTTGCACCAGCAGCGGTGATGCATTCTGCTTCTGCAGAAGATTGAGCTACCACCCCTTGCTTCTTTGAATTCCATGAGAACATGCCTGAACCAAGTGTAAAAGCATATCCAGAAGTGCTTTTCATATCATCAACGCTTCCTGCCTAATCACTATCTGAATAACCTATCAGTTGCCCTTTCTCTTCCCTTTTAAACCAAATACCATAATCAACAGTTCCTTTGATATATCTCAACGTTCATTTAGCAACACCAAGATGAACTTGACTTGGAGCTTGCATAAACCTCGACAGTAAACTTGTCGCGAACATGAGATCGGGTCTTGTTGCTGTCAAATACAGCAAACTACCAATCAGACTTCTATAAACTGTTGGATCAGGCCTGTCACCTCCTTCAAACTTCGAAATCTTTTCATTGTGAACCCGTAGAGTCGGTACAGACTTGCACCTGTCCATCTTGAACCTTTTAAGAATATCCCATGCATATTTTCTCTGAGAAATAAAGATTCCAACAGTAGCTTGATGAATCTCCATTCCCAGAAAGTAACTCATTTCACCTAAATTTGACATTTCAAACTTGGTCTCCATTTCTTGCATGAACTGATTCACCATTGCTTTATTGCTTCTTGTTACCAGAAGATCATCAACATAGAGTGACACCACAAACACATCTCCTCCTTTAGCCTTCTTCACATATAAAGTGGCTTCATTTTCATTTCTCTTGAAGCCACAATGAATGAGATGATCATCAATCTTATTGTACCATGCTCGAGGAGCCTGCTTTAATCCATACAATGCCTTATGAAGTCGATAGACTTTATCCTCCATTTCTGCAACTTGAAAGCCTTCTGGTTGATCAACATATATCTTCTCCTGCAACAGTCCATTTAAGAATGCAGATTTCACATCCAAATGATACAGCTTCCAATTTGATTGAGCTGCCAAAGAAAATAGCAGCCTTATTGTATCATGTCGTGCAACAGGTGCAAACGTATCCCCATAATCCAGACCTGCAACTTGCGCATAACCTTTCACAACAAGCGTTGCTTTGTATTTATAAACTGAGCTATCTAGATTAAGTTTGGTTCTATAAACCCACTTCACCCCGATCACATTTATGTTTTTGGGTTTATCAACCAACTTCCAAGTATCATTCTTTTCTATCATACCAATCTCCTCCTTCATGGCTTCAATCCAAACTTCATGTCTTGATGCTTCTTGATAGCTATTTGGTTCCGAGATTGCAACATTACATCTTTCATATATCTCGGAAAGAGACCTTGTCTTCAAAATTGGCGAATCAAGTGAGGATTCCCTGTCTGATTCTTCGTCTTCTTCTAGAGTTTTAGACCCAAATGATTTGATTTCAAGCAGCAGACTCAAGTTCTAAAAAACTGCATTATCTTTCTCAATTTGCTCCTTATCCCAGTTCCAATAAGCATGCTCATCCACGACTACATCTCTTCAGATTGAAATACTTTTTGTTTGCAAGTTGAAAACTCTATAACCCTTGGCTTGTGATGAATAACCAATAAAGATCCCCAATTCACCTTTTGGTTCAAGGTTGCTTCTTTTGACAGAAGGAACATGAGAATAGCATATCAAACCAAAAACTTTTAGATGCTTGGCAGATGGTTGTATTCCACTCCATGCCTCAATATGAGTCTTTTCATCCACAGCTTT